CTAAGGTTCTAGCCTCAAAACTTAAGGAGACACAACATACATACGGATCAAAGCTCACAGTGCCTTGTTAGAATGTGCAACATTAATGTTTCTATGCTTCAGTTAAGAGATAAATTTAAACTACAGAAATAAAAAGGAGAGAGATGACATGTGGGAGGTGTGGGGAATGTGTTCTTACACACGAGGGTAATTAGGCCAGATGGTGAGTTCCACCCGGCGTCCACTTGCACCCATAGACGCTAAGGAGCTTCTTGGCTCCTCCACAAAAAATAAAGAAGCCACAGGCTCAAAGCAAACTCTCCCAGGCAGCTAACGCTTCAGCCCCGAGGAGACAAAGCAAGGATGTGACATGATTGATCCCCACCATCCTCCTGTCCCAACGGCTTCAAATTAAGCCATCTTTTTAGTATAACATGACCATTTTAACTATTTAAAAGATGGGGGAGATCCTCTTGCATATTTTACAAAATGAAATAACCGTCTAGAGAAATAGGAAGATAGGAAAATGGACCCATCTTCTGATCACAATCTACTTCACTAATTAACAATGACTGGTCTCCAATGAGTCGTCCCCTGGCCAAGCTAATGAAGTCCCACTATAGAATCACGTGCACTGTAAGCATTCGTGCTGGAAAAGGGGACGAATGAAACGCAGGATTCTACACCCTTCCTTTGGTGGTTCATTAAAATTCTGGTCAAAACAGAGTTTTATTTATGTGAGACATTAAAGAATATTATGACAGTATTAATATGAAATCCGTTGCTTTACTGCCACAGATTTTTTTTTCTTTCGTCTAAAGTTGCAGTTTCTTTCCACTGGTCTTGTTTTAACACCTCCACGGAGTATTTCTCTGGCGAGTGTTAGCAAAGGAGGGACAGGCAGGAAGTGGAGAAATGAATCTAAGCTGAAATGCAAGCTGACATATCATTTATAAAAGCTGCTCCCCCAGTCCTCCAGGAGCGGGCACGGCCATCATGACCCCAACAGCAGACACTCAGAAGTTTTATTGAAGGGAGCTAAACAAAACATAAAGAGGACTTCCCTAAGATTCCACAAGCCTACCAGCCAGTTATGGTTAACTCATGATAATTCAGTCTAAAATCCTGGTGACCAGGCCCAAGTCCTAGAAGAAAATAACCCGAGGCAAAGAAGGCACTTTCCTCACCCCACTCCCATCCCAACACACCTCCTGCTGCCTTCAGGGTAGAATGACCTCAGAAGTGAAAGCAAGCCCTGAGGGGTCCCCAAGGAGAGAAAGTACAAGTCAGCGTCACACAATGGGATGACATAACAAGGGAGTGGGGGTAATCTCCAGAGTGGGAATAGAACCTCCAATTCCACACTGTCTGGGTGCTGGACTATTCCTCACAACCTCCCCCAAGCCTGTCCGTTCTTCCCTAACTCACACACTTCTGGTGCAATTCTTATACTACTTCTCCATCTCCATTGCTGTTTGCTCACCAATAGAATGTAGGGGACACTGGCCCCCACCTCTTGAGAGCTGCAATAAGGATCAAACAAGTTTAAGTCAAGACCCTACAATGTAATCTGAGACATATATTCCACTTCTAACATAACCAAACCTCTCACAGGATTCATGTAAGGCTCTAACAAAAAGTAACTGAGAAGAAGCAAGAATGATGGCAAGTCAGACACCAGCCTGTGCTACACACTAAGATTCTGTCTCTAAAACTTCTCCCCCCCCAAAAAAAAATTATCACAAATATTTACCTGACATTATGGTATTATCATGTACCAGGTCTTGTTTGTTGTTGTTGTTGTTGTTTTTCTTTAAGTCAATAACCTTTTAATCTGCAGAGAAACCCTACGAGAAGGGAAACTGAGGTCCAGAGAATTAGCGGGGCAGTCCAGCTTGCAAACAACCACCATCCTAATGATAATGATTAAATCAACAGTAAAAATGGGGAATGATAGTGATGAGTTTCGAGGCTTTTCCCTGTGGGCCATGCTTTTATTCTCCACAAAAGCCCACTGAGGGAACTGATGTCTTCACTCCCATTTGACTGATGAGAGTGCAATGGAGCTGAAAGAGATTGAAGAGCAAAGTCCTTTGCAAGGCGTCATTAAAAGTAAGGTAATCAGCCAGGTGCAAGTGGCTCATACCAATAAACCTAACTATAATATCGGAGGAACATACTTCAAAACCAGCTTGAACAGATATATCCCAGACTCTTATCTCCAACTAACCAGCAAGAAGCCAGAATTGGAGGTATGGCTTAAGTTGGATAGCACCAATTGTGATGGAAAAAGCTGAAAAAGAGCCCCAGTACCCACATACACACACATCCCCACACAGACATACACACATAAATTCCAAGGCAACATGTCTCTCTCAACTGGTTTAATGTCAACACATATCTAAATATCTTAATAAATTCATCTCCAAATATCCTAGACTTTGGGTTGGGGCTGAGGGATATTTAAGAAATAGCATATCTTGTTTTCAAGTTGAATGTGTAACTAAAACAACAAATGACAAAGTATATTAAGATTGAAATATTCCCTTCCTAGTTTAAAAAAGAAAAAGTCAGAGAGGCACTGGTAACTCACACCTGTAACCCAGGTTACTCAGGAAGCTGAAATCTGAACATCATGGTTCAAAGCAGAGCCCAGGCAGCCCAGGCACAAAAGCCCATGAAATTCTTATGTCCAATAAACTACCAAACAAGCCAGAAGAGGACTTGTGTCTCAAGTGGTAGACTGCAAAAATGCTCATGGGGAAAGGGTGATACAGTCCAAAAAGTACTCTTGCCAGGCGCCGGTGGCTCACGTCTGTAATCCTAGCTACTCAGGAGGATGAGATCTGAGGATCATGGTTCAAAGCCAGCCTGGGCAGGAAAGTCCGTGAGACTCTTATCTCCAATAAAACCACTAGAAAACTGGAAGTGGCACTGTGGCTCAAGCGGTAGGGTACTCGCCATGAGCTGAAGAGCTGAGGGACAGCGCTCAGGCCCGGAGTTCAAGCCCCATGACCAACAAAAAAAAAAAAAAAAAGAAATGTACTCTTTACCTGACTTATGTAAATTTAACCCCTCTGTACATCACCTTTATAATAAATTTTAATGCTCAGAGACAGTATCCAGGCCCAGGCAAGCTCCAAGAACAGAACTAAATAAAAAATAATAAGTAAATAGACAAATAAAAAGTCAGGGAGAAGGGACAACAAGGGAGACGGGGAGGAAAGCAGTCAGACCCCCAGTTTAGTCAAAGCTGGAATTTTTCCAGTTTCCTCATAGGGAAATCTGATGCGGGTATAGAGTGACTGAATGACAAACCTGGAAACTTGAAAATTCACACTTCTGGAAGAAACAGTCATTTTTCCAAACCCAGGATACACTGCTGCTTCTAGAAAGCCTTTGGAAATGTGAAGCTCATACACTGTTTGCAAAGCAACTGTAACAGTTTGTGCCACATACACAAGCAATCTAATAATCCCTTCCATTTATACATTCCTATCATCTACTTAAGACATCGCGGGGGGGATAGGGGAAGGGAGGGCCCTAAGAAAAAAGTTATTACTAGGTGCCAGTGGCTTACACCTCTAATCCTAGTACTCAGAGGGCTGAAAGTTGAAGATCACGGTTCAAAACCAGCATAGGCAGGGAAGTCCCTGAAACTCTTACCTCCAATTAACCAGCAAAATGCCAGAAGTGGATCTATAGCCAAAGTGATAAAACACCAGCCTTAAGCAAAAAGCTAAGGAACAACACCCAAGCCCTAAGTTCAAGCTCCAGTTCTGGCACCAAAACAAACAAAAAGAGAAAAAAAGAGTGAAAAGAAAGTTACCTTATTTAAGATATTGGGGGGGGAAGAGAAGGGATAGTGGGACAACAAGGGAAGGGGTAGCAATGATTGACAAGTAACGTGCTCATTGCCTTACTCATGGAACTGGAACCCCTCTGTACAGCATCTTTACAATAAAATAAAATTTTTAAAAAAAGAAATTCTGATTCCATCTTTAGGAAGTCATAAGTTTAGAAAGATCATTCACTCATGGCAAGCTCTAGACCTTAAGTTCTCGAAATACCATCCTCAACAGCACCCTTTCTTTACTAATGTGCAAAAGTATTTACACAATGAGAAGATTCTGATTTGGGGGACTCAGCTTGAGGAAATAAACTAAATGTGTTAAAAGTGAAGGCCCTTGATGCCCCACAATCAGAAGCTTCTACTTTACACTCCAGAGTATCAAGGCTACCAAATATGAAAAAGTGTTTCTTACAGTATTATTACATTAGAAAGATGTTGAGCTAAAAGGCGTAAAATGAATGTATATGCTGACAGCCCTTCCAATCCAGCCATAGACTTCCTGCAGCTGAATTCTAAACCACTGCTGACGAGCTCAGAAAGAGCCATGTGAACAAGCCACTTCTACAAAACTGTGGCCCTCTCACAATCCTCTAAGCAAGTCTCCACCAGACTCCCACAGAGTTACAGGGTTTCACACAAGCACCACTGTTGGTTTCAAGGATGCCCTGATTTATCTGACCAACCTGAAACCAAAGAATCCAGGGCTTCCTCTCTTGGACTTACAGCTTTCAGCATCTGTGAAGTTTTGTTTGTTTTTTCCCAAGAAAGGACAAGCTGTTTAAATTCCACTGCTCTCAAAAAGCACAGGATATAAGACCTGGAAAGAGCACCCTCAAGAAGAAGAGTTCCACTTTTCCTGATATGATCTCAGCAATACTTAAAAAAATAAATAGAAGACTTGCATAAATATTGTAACAGACAGAGTCACTTCCTCCTACTAAGGATCAGACTCATCCCTCTGGATGCTTAGAGCTCACATCAGATGGGAGAACTGGGAGACACACATGGGTATCTCAGAGAACTGCTCACAGGGCCCTTCTCACCCATACTGACACCCTAAAGGTACGACACACAGCAAGGTGCCACAATTCATTGCCAATGTTTGGAATCTAAACCTGAAATCTTCGCAACTGAGTATTTAAGCCCTATTGCTGGTTGTTTTACTTACCTTGGGTTGTGCTCGACGAGGAAATGCAACTTTGGGATCAATCTGGGAAAAAACAAAATAATAGGTATCAGTGGGATAGTTTGTGAGTAGGCTATATGTATATGTATATATATATATATATATATATATATATATATACACACATATCACTTAATCATTAATCACTCATTTCTCAGGCTTATAAGTCCACATATACTTTATATATATGTATATATGCATATATGAACATATGCATACACACACATACACACACATACACACATAATATTACACTCTGTTTCTGGAGCTATTCAAGGTTCCTTCAACGTTGATCTAAATTTTCACTATCTCTATCCAAACATGGCTAGACTTTCTAAAGTGTCCTACCATGCATTTTAGTGTGTGATGCTCTGTATAAATCAGATCTTTTTTTGCAAGAGTTCCTCTTCCATAAACATTATTATTAAATGATACCTGCAGTTAATGCACAGGAGAAAAGATGGGAGCCATGTTACCACTGAGGGGAAAAATAAAAACCTGAAAATCAAAAGTGGCTTCTAGCACTAATAAAATAGATGACATCTCTACTCCCTAGCACAAGAGGGCAAATGGATCCCCAAAATGTCAGAAGTCAACAACATCGCAAAACTCCCATCCAACACAATGCTCGGCTTGAATCAACTCACTATGTTTTAGCAAAATAAAGTTAGCAGGCATTATCAAAAAGATGATTTGTTCTGTCATTATACCTCCATAGAAAGCAGGTGTCCGAAACCATGGAGCCTGACTAGATTTAAAAAAAAAAATGCAATAAAGCAAAAAATGCACATGAACTAAAACCACCTGGATTTTAAAAACCACAAGGATTAAAATCCAGAAGCTTTAAACCTAAAGTCCAAATTAGAAACCGAAGGCCATAGGTAGAATACAAAAAAAAAAAAAAAAAAAAAAAGTGAAGTGGGACTGTAATGCAGTAATTGGGAGCTCCCCCACCCCAACCTCAACCCCCACAGGAAAGCCTACTCTATTCCAGATCAGATGCCTGCTTACAAAGCAAGGAGCTTTACAATTCAGAACTAATTCCCACAGAAGCATTTGAATTAACAGGCTAATGTGAGAAGAAAGTTACTGGACAGTAAAAGGGGGAGGGGGCAAGGAATATAAAATACATACACTGTTGGTTTTCTTTGCATTTCTAAATGTTTCAAATCTTTTGAGTAAAACAACACAGAGAGTAACCTGAATATTGCTACAAGTTAACTAAATTCCAGGCTTTGACCTTCATATTTAATTTTCTTCCCTTTCAAAAACTCAAGCTGAATGTGGCTTTCAGTTCTGCTAAGAAGAATGCTGTGGGGTAAAGAAGGCTAGGGATGACAAATAACCACACATAATTCCTATCCCTGACCTATATCCTCTAGAGCCCCTGTACTAGTCTATACAAGGGCTTACTGCTTTTATTACAGTAGTTTAAGGACCTAATAAAAGTCTGCATCATAGTTTCCACTTTTTAAGCATCACCTGAGAAATGAGAGATCACCTGTCAGAAACTACATACACACACACACACACACACACACACACACACACAAATATAACACTGTTCTAGAAAACTACCCTTTCCTAAAGATTAACATTGTTGCATCTACAGGTGTGCCCAGCACTGACTAGAGCTTGTCTACAAGAGAGATACAACAGGTGTGGATTTTCCATTCTGTCCACCATAAGTAAGACAGATGCCTCCATGGAGAAATACTCCCCCCAAAGGGTTTGTTTTTGGCTGACCACACAATGCAAAAAGATAGGCAAGTGGAGTATGTCAGAAGAGAGGCCAGGGGCAATGAGGACCATCAAGTACTAAAATAAAAAATGAAAATTGCAAAACTAAAAGCCAATTGGGAACTGCATTTGAGTGTGGTGACATCAGTGAATTACATACACCAAGAGAAGAGTTCCTCCATGTGCAATTTACAGAGATCTCTATAGGAGGGGGGAGGGGTCAAGGCAAGATGGCAAATCCCAACCTTTTGCACATCCCGGTCAACTAGTTTTTAAAAAGAAAGAAAGAAAAAAAAAAAAACTACCAAAAATGAAAACATTAGTTAGTTAGGTACAGCTCTACTTACTGGATCTACAAGTCCTCTAGGAAACACTAGGGTACTATTTTGGACGTGAATGGCCGTTACCTAAACAAAGCTTTTAAGGTAATGGTAAACAACATCCTCGGTTTCCATGTCAATAAAACAACCGCTTCTGCCTCCTGCACTGAACGTTGAAACAAAGTCAAAAGCTAGGTTAAACTAAGTAGCAGTGACCTGAACACTTCTACAAAAACCCCAGGAGGGAAAACTGTAGGCTATTTACTAGATACTCAGGGACCCACCAGCCACAGCACAAACCAAACTCCCCACCCAAGTGGAGGAGGGTGCCTTGAGCTGGCTTTCCTCTTTCATTTTAGTAGCTTTTGCGAATTTGTGTAGCCTAAAGTCAGGGGAAAAGGGAGGAAATTTTCTTCACAATTTCACCACCCTACAAAAGATTATCCCTGAAATTAAACGCTCTAAAAGTACAAAAGCACTGGGTTACAGGTTCTGACAAGTCCAAGACAATTAATAAAGCCAAGTGTGTGAGGTCTTTTCTTGGGTGAGGGCAGTACCCAACCTTTTTTGATCATAGAGGGTGAATTTGCAAATTCAATGCCTATGCACCAAAGGTTGCCAGGTCTTTTTGTCTCTCCCATTCAATTTTAAAGACAAAGAACTTGGAAGATCACTTAATTCAGTGTTTTACAGAAAAGGAAACTGAGACCCAAACACAGGGAACGACTTGCTCAAGTTCCCAATAGGGCAGCTGGAACCACAATCTCTCATCCTACCCTACTCCAGGAGTCCCATCTTCAGAGAAGCACAGTCCCAACATCACCTTGAGGCCAGCATTACACAGATACGCAAAAATTGTGAGGAAATTAGAGGACACATACAGGGGAGACAGGAGAAGGCAGGAAGCCAGCAGAGGGGCTAAATAAAAGACCGTCAACTCCCCGGCCTCCACTAACATTAAATTTATTATTACAGACTGCCACTCTTCCCTTCCTCTCTGACCTCTCTGCCTAGCAACTTTCTTATCTACAGAAATAAAAGGATCCAACAAAGAAAAAGAAAAAAAAAATCACTTTGAAACCCAAGGCCTTAAGCATTCGGTTTCACACCATCTGGAGTCACCCCACTGGATATCCAGGCTTGGCACTGCCAGTGTCTCTCCTTCCCTCTTCAAACCACATTCCGGATCCCAAGGCCAGGAGAGAAACCTGTTGCCTGGATCTATGATGAGCGCCCCCTTCCCCTCCCCCCCACCCAGCTCCCCTCAACCTGGAAGCATGCCATGCCTTCCCAGAGCCACAGTTGGCAATGCAGGCGGGGCTCCGCTGACAAAGAAAGTTCCATTTGCTCTCCAGTGGTGGTGAAGGCTGTGGTAAAGTCCCTTGGCCTGAGAGGATAACCCTCTCCCCCAGAGATGAGTCCCTTCCCTCCCCCTTCTCCACCCTTAGCTTGGCAGCCTCCAGAGTTGCAGTGGGATGGGCTCTAAAAAAGAAAACCCCAAACCCAAGCCACCAGCAAACTTCTGAGCCAACTAGTTAGCTGTTTTAAAAGTATCCAGTTCTAACACAGAAAGCGAAAGGCGGCGCTGTCCCTTTAAATAGGGCTGTCAATGCCTGAAAAGGGGCGAACAACAACAACAAAAAAGCAACCTACCGTCTTGGAATCTAACTCATGGTGGGGCTGACCTAATACTTTATCTACACTTGCTGGATCTGCGAACGTGACGAAACCGAAGCCTCTGAAAGGAAACAAAGAGGGAGAAAAACAAACAAGAAAATGTGACACCATTGAAAGTCACAAGAAATGAGACCTAATGCAAAAAAAAAAAAAAGAAAGAAAAGAAAACCCAAGGAGCAAAAGTTGCTCCCAAATGCACCCCCATTATTCCTATTCCCTCTTCTAGTTCCCCTCCTCCCTGCAGCCCTCCACCAGGCAAGAAAATTACCAAGGTTACTGGGGGAAGTGGGGTGAGGCTAGGGTGGCCGGAGGTTAACTTAGCTGAGGCTGGAGCCTCCACTCTGGCCGCCTCAGTTTCCTCTCCTCCACCTCCTCCCCCTCCTCCTCCCTTTTTGAAAGCTTTGTTTTATTCTAAAGGAAGCCGGACACTTAGAATCGCCTATCTTTCCTAACAGGGGACTTCAGAGTTTGGGGGAACTGAGAATGTGAGGAAAGCACACATTTAAAAAGTAAAATAATAATTGTTTTACAAACTGTAGAGTGAATGAAGCCGAATGCCATCTTCAACGAGGGAGAAAGCAGGAGGGGGGCGGGGGAGACTTCAGGAAGGGTTTCAGCTTCGATTCTAGAGTTCAACCCTAATTAATAATAACCTTTAGGGTGATGGGAGGAGGGGGAGCAACATTCCAGCCCGGCCATGCGCCTGAGCCCCACTCTAAATCCGCTTAGCTACTTCCAAAGACACCTCCAAATATAAAGCTAAAACTTTGTTCTATAATAAAGACAAAAATCCAGAAGGGAAAGGCTTTACCTGGAGCGTTTCGTGGTGGGATCTCTCATGACCATACATTCTCTAATTTCTCCAAATTTGCTAAAATAGTCTCTAAGGCTATCTGTAGAGAGAGAAAGAGAGAGATGGGGGGGAGAAGGTGTGGAGAAAAAAATATATAGAAGCAATGCAAAATCTGATCAAGGACAAAAAAAAAGAGAGAAGCAAAAGTAGTTTTCTGTTGTTATTCTGTTTTGTTTTGCATTCGGTGTGTGAGCGTGTGCACACGCGGGGAGGGGGGATTCGGCAGCAGAGGTCGCGTAGAGGGCTCGGAAAGGATCTGCTATTTAAAATATAGATATAACCTTGCACGAAAGTGGGGAGTCCACGGCGGGGCGGGGGGCTCCCAGCGCGGGATAACAAAGAGCAATAAAGAAGCCAAGAAGGGGGGGACCCGGGAGCCCCCCCCTCCCTCCCTTACCTGGTGAGGTCTGCCAGCTCAGTCCACCGATAAACATTTTACTAGAGGGAGAAAACATAACAGAAGTGAGCACCGATGTCAGATCGGCCATTTTGACGTGTAACTTACAAAAGCTCCGAGGAGAGCGGGGGGAGCGGGCGAGCGCCAGCCGGGAGGTGAGGTGGGGTGGGGGCGAAGGTGACGGCCAGACGCCACCCCAAGGTGTGTAACTTCCCGGGGGGCGGGCAGGGCCCCCCTCGGCACCAGGGGGCGCAGGGGGAGGAGGGGGCGCGCGCAGACGCCCGGCCCCGCGCTCCGCCGGCCCCGCCGGCTCGGCCGAGGGGAGCGAGCCGCGGGCGGCGCGGTGGGCAGCGGCTGGAAACTTACCCGGGGTCGTGCTGGGAGTCGTTGGCGCTGCCCGAGGTGCCCTGGCTCCCATTTGCCTCCATAGCGGAGCCCCCCCGCCCCCCCACCCCCGACACACCGAGCCCCACAGCGAGCGGAGCGGCGCGGCGGCCGGCTCCGAGCCCCACAGCTCTCCGCTCCCTCCTCCCCCGCCTCCTCCCCCCGCCCGCCCGGCCGCCCGGCCGCCCGCCCGGCTCCGCCGCCGAATCTCCGCGAGCGCCGAGCCGGGGCCGCGGCGAGAGCCGTCACACGTGGGCTCGGCTTAGCTCAAGCCCCGCCGCCCCGCCGCCCCGCCGCCCCGCCGCCCGGCCGCCCGCCGCCGCCGCCGCCGCCGCCGCCTCGCACACCCCCCCGTCCCCGCCCCCCTCCCCCCGGCCCCTCCCCGCCTCTCCCCCTCCTCCGCCCCACCCCCATCCCCTCCTCCCCCCCCCCGCCCCGCCGCGCACGTGGGGCGGAGTTCTAGAACGTCGTGTAACCAATGCGGTGACGTCACGCACCCCGTGCGGCCCCCGCCGGCCCGCGCGCGCACGCTCGCCCCCCCTCCCGCGCGCACACACACACACACACACACACACACACACACACACACACAGCGCCGGCACCCGCGGGAAGCGGCGCGCAAACCCCCCGCGGGGGCCCCGCCTCCGAACGACGGGAAACTGAGGGGAGCACCTCGACTCCCCCCCACCCCACCCCCGGGATCACGTGGGCCACGGGCGGGGGGGGGGGTGCGGGGGGCGGGGCGGGAGGATCGGGGAGGGGGAGGTGCGGGATGCTCACCGTGCGGGGCGCAGACGCGCCCACCTCCCCCCCGGCGCGCGCGCACGCGCGCGGGCACACACACACACACACACACACACACACACACACACACACACACACACACACACACACACACACACACCCCGCACCCCTACTTCGGCCTCTCCATTCAAGTTCGCCGGCCGCTGACGCCCGGAGCCCGGGGATGGCACCGACCGTCCGCCCGGCTCTGCGCCCTGTTTCCAGCCACCGCGCAGAAATTTAGGTCAAGGACGTCAGGAGCCAAGCCCACACATCCCGGCGCTCCTGGGGCGGCCCTCGGGACCCCCCGGACCCCCGGGACGGCGGGGACCCTCCACCCTCAACCCCCGCACCAACGCCAGCCACAAGTTTTATTTTTCCCTCGGCGCTGCAAGTTCGCCGGCTCCCGCGCTCCACACCCGCAGGTCTGGCGCGGCTCCCCGCCCTTCCCCAGCCCAGGGACGGAAGGATCCGTGCCGGGGAAAGGGTATTTTGGAACTTTGCGAAACAGCCGCGATGGTAAGGGGGGGACCAGAAAGGGTTCTGCGTTAATTAGACACAGTTATTAAAAAAAAAAAAAAGTAATACAGGTCTGTAGGGGGTCAAGGTCAAATGATTGGGGTTCAAAGCAAATGTGTGCGCTTAGAAGTTGTAGGGGAGCGTCTCTGGGATGGTTGTGAAGGGTTGGTTAGTTTCAGGAAACCTCTTTACTATTCGTCCCTTATCGATCTCATCATTTCTCAACTTCATCCAGGCTTTCTTATGCAGAGTAAAGTGCGGGAGATTGAAAGACCTGTGCTAACCTGGCGAGGTCGCTGGCAGCAAACTCGCGTTCAGAATTCCTTCCCTCCTCCATCTACCCCCCCCTACACACACACACACACACACACACACACACACACACACTTCATAAATGCAGGATTCCTTGCTCTGAGCAATGAAAACTCGAAAAGACCCGTAAGTTGCTTGCCATAGGCATCATTCGCATCTCCCAGCAGATCCAGGCTGGCCAGATTCGGGCTGGATTCAATTTATGGGGTATTTAAAACAATAAGGATGCAATTATCCTTATTGTTTTAAATTATTACAATAAATTAAGTTAATATGGCATGAGGGGCAACATACAGTTGTGGTTCATCAGATACTCAGATTAATGTTCAGTGTGAATGGATGCCCAATTAACACTTTTCCATTAATTTTCATAAGATTAGGAGACAATGAAATACACTCAACACCAAAACCAGCAAATTCACTGTGGGTCTTGGAAACATGGAACATTTGGAAAAACCTCAACATCAGACAAAGCCCTGGGTGACCACACTGTCAATCTCCCTGTCCCCTCAGCTGGGATAATACCTCCCTGACAGGGTAAAAATGTTTTTCATGGCAAACCTCTGTGGGTCATGTTTATTATCACTTATTATTTAATATGACTCTTTTAGAAGACTAGACCACAAACGCGAGCATTTCCCATCACTCCAAATCGCTTCCCGAATCACCCTGGGTCTCCTGTCGAAGAGCCGATTGTTTTGATGGTAATTGTTTATTATTATTCTCAATAACAAAATGCAGACAACACAGCTAATTGGATTGCATTTGGGAATCTTACCACAGAACCACTGAGCATCAGAGCTAGAAAAGTCTTATCTAATCTCCCCATTTTACATGAGGGTCTCAGAAGTTCCAAACTTGAAAGGCCCATCTCCCTCTCCACTAGGCAATTCTTGTGGCTCTGAGTCTTGTGTTTCCTTTGGCTCTGCTACCAACATTTTCCTTCTGCCCTTCACAAGGCAAGAATGGGTGGCCTTCTTCTCTATCTAAACCTACCCAAGTGGTCAATTGGCTACTTAGGGATCTTAGTGAAACCCTGAAGGGGCCCAGCACTTCAGCAGCTAAATCAGTGGCAAAGGAAGACTAGGTTAGAAGTCTCCACCACTATGTTTTTTACTTAGGTTGTTTTGTTTCTTTTTTGTGGGTAGGATTGTTTTGTTTTGTTTTTGTTGGTCATAGGACTTGAATTCTGGGCCTGGGTGCTGTCCCTCAGCTTTTCAGCTCAAGGCTAGCACTCTACCATTTGAGCCACAGCACCACTTCTGGTTTTCTGAGTGGTTTATTAGAGTTAAGAGTCCCACAGACTTTCCTGCCCCAGCTGGCTTTGAACCACGATCCTCAGATCTCAGCCTCCTGAGTAGCTAGAATTACCGGCGTGAGCCACCAAAGCCCAGCTATTTTGTTTTGTTTTTAAAATATAAAAGCCGTAAACTGGTTGCTGGTGGCTCACACCTGTATTCGTAGCTACTTAGGAGATTGAGATTTTAGGATTGCCATTCAAAGCCAGCCCAAGCAGGAAAGCCTGTCAAACTGTTAATCTCCAATTAAAACCACCAAAAATCCAGAAATGGAGCTGTGATTCACATGGTAGAATGCTAGCCTACCAAAGCTCAGGGACAGGACTTAGGCCCTAAATTCAAGCCCCAGTACTCTCATAAATAAGTAAAAGCAGCAACATTACAAAGACTTCTTGCTCTCTGATTCTATGTCTTGACAAATACTCTCAGTGATGTGACTACCCTAGAAACCAAGACACAGAACATTTCCACGGCCCCCCAAAACCTCCTCAGGCTTCACCTTTGCATTGCATTATTTAAAATAGATGATGGTGGTGGTGGTGGAGCACTATATCTTCTCTATCTCAGTGCATCCTCTGCCAGAACTCATTCCTCTTGGGATACTGGACAGCCTCTTCTTCCCTAGCTCTCCTTCAATACCCATACTCATGGTTCTTTGACCTCTCCCCAGTGCTTTTATTTCTCTCTGTCTTGACTCTTTCTCTGCTTTGCCACTAAATACTGGTCTTCAACCCTATTCGCTCTTCTGTATACTCACTCTCCCATTTCAGTGGATGGGTTCAAACCCTACAACCTATTGAGACCACTAAAAATTTCCAGCCTTGTCCTTCCAGTAAGTTCTAGGCTCTGGTCAGGGTCCTATGCAACATCTCCAAACTCAGCATGTCCAGAAAAATGTGGATGCTTTTTCACCTTGTCTTTTTACTGGGGTTCCCTCTCTCAGGGGACAGACCCAGCCCCTGAAGCCTTTCCCCTTCGATGTGCACTCCATCCTAAATATCGAACAGCTATCTTTCTCTCTACAGATCTCTACTCTCTTACCTGAGGCCCTGAAAGTAGCCTCCAAAACAATGTCCCTATCTGTGCTCTTACTCCACTTTCATGCCTAGAAAGGTTTTCCAACTTCTCTCCCTGTCTTGACTGCCCCTTGATGTACACTGTTAACCTGCTAGAGTGTCCTCTGTGTTCCTTGCCCTATGTGATCATTTGCTTCTTTGCCTGTCTCCTCCATCAAGCCACAGACTCCCGCCTCATTTTGCTCCTCTTGTAGCAGCACAGTGCCTACTGGTGCATGGTCAGTAAGAAATCATTTTTGAGCCTGGCACCAGTGGTTCACACCTGTAATCTAGCAGCTCACAAGATCTGAAAATGGAAGTTCAAAGTTAGCCTGGGCAGGAAAGATTCTTATCTCCAATTAATATCTCTCCCTCCCTCCTCTTTCATGTGCGCACACACACACACACACACACACACACACACACAAAGATAGAAGTAGAGCTGTGGCTCAAGTGGTAGAGTGCTAGCCTTGATAAAAAAAAAAAAAAAAATCTTAGGAACAGCACCCAGACCCTGAGTTCAAGCCTCAGGACCAGCAAAAAAAGAAAGAAAAAAAGAGAGAAATAGTTGTTGAGTGAATGGAGGATTAAATTAATAAATAAATGAAGATCAACATCTATTTCTAGGGTTTTTGTTCATGTTCAGAAGTAGTCAAACTGGCTGTAATTTTCTCCTCTTTGTGTTGCCTTTTTCTAGTTAGACTAGCCTCCTAATATAAACTAGTAAATGTTTAATTTTTTCTTTTTCCTTTTCTGGAACAGTGTGTTTAAGATTGGAATTATGTGTTCCTTGAATGTTTGGTAGAACTTGTTGATAATATGTCTGTGTCTGGGATAACTGTTTCCTAGGTTGATTTATAACTACCAATTCCATTTCTTTAATGGTTGTAGATGTCTTTGGGTCTTCTCTTCTTGAATGAATTTTTACATTGCATTTTTCAAGAAAATTATAGATACTGTCAGCATTCTCAAGTATACTGATGAAACATAGTCTACAACTTTTCTCTTTATATATTTTAATCTGTGCTGTATCTTTTCATCATGTCTATTTTTAATCCAAAATATTACTTTATATATTTATCTTCCCTTGTCTGGAT